AGAACAAAGGGTATCAGGCCAAGAACAGTGGCAGAAATCAACTGGTGTGTGAACAGTGTATATTCAAGAAGATGATTTGGGTCTATATCTTTTCTGAGGCCACACATGGTGTAGCAATATTGGATGTCGGCTAAGGTGATCCTAGCATTCTCTTGTTTTGCTAAGGCAATTATACCGTTAATAACTCGATAGGGGTTGATGGCAAGTTGCATATTCAACTTATAGCAATGAAGTAGTTCATGAAAAAGGATGTTCAGTGGGAACCGAAGTCCGCACTCGATAAAGGCCACTACAGGGAAAGGCATAGAATCAATGGTGGGCATGATGGAGTCGTCATCCCCAGCCAATCTCAGATGAATGTTGGCATGGATGGAAAACTCTTGCCTAAAGTATTCTGGTTTTGTCGGGATGTCTACCCTATGTTTCCACATATCCATGATATCGGCTTAGCTGGGAAGAGCTGGATTTCAGAATGAAAAGTGTTTTAGAGGGATATTGGGACCTCGGCAAAAAACCTAAAGAATGTGTTGGGTAAGGATTTGTGGAAATCGTTTCAGTTTTTCCTAAAAATCAAGGGTTCTACAGGCAAATCCCAAACCTAGATCTATGGAAACGAAGATTGGATGCACGGATCTGGAAAAACAGAAAAACATGGATACGCTTCAGAATCAAGAACAGAGATGGATTGTCAAGAACATTGAAAGAACAAAGGGTATCAGGCCAAGAACAGTGGCAGAAATCAACTGGTGTGTGAACAATGTATATTCAAGAAGATGATTTGGGTAAAAATAGAATCATGAAGCAAACAAGTCCAAATATATGGTGGAATACAAAATGCAAGATGAAATATCGGAAGTACGAACAAAGATTGCAAAAACAACAGGTAAAACGGTAAAGTTCAGTAAGGTAGCCAGAACTAAAAACCAGAAGGAATGATGACTTATCAGAGGGAAAAAGCTGATGTTGAGATTGCCGAAGTCAGACAAACGGCGGTAACGGAAAAAGAGCCTCGCCGGAAGAGGTGAAACAGCGGTGGCAACAGAGCTTCAGAGCTTGGAACAATGGAAGATTAGAGAAGGCAAGAGAGAGAAAGAGTTTGAATAGAGACGATGTAAAGTGAAAAGACGAAAGGGGGAAAAGTTTTGTTAAAAACCTAAAACGGCGGCAACACAGAATTGATGAGCCTAGAAAAACGGATTTGTCAGACAGTGTATGCAGGCATGAGATGACTTACAAGCGCGTAACAAGTACGATCCAATGAGGGGAAGGCACATGGCTTAAACGGTTGAGTTGTTATATATAACAGCTCATATGCATGAAGAAGCCCTTGGGATTCTTAATCTTTAAGAAGACATATCAACCTATGATGATGATCTCGGCTTACGCCGATGTACTGGCAGGAAGTACCAATATAGGTTTCATCACCTCAGAATGCCGAGGTAATAGAACCTAGGGGGCAGTTGTGGGGATATATTTTCTGAGTCCCAACACGTGGCCAAGGTGACGCCGACGTGTCAGCCGAGGTGCCACGTGTCCAGGTTATGACGCTGAGGATATTTCGGCAAGGCCGAGGTTATCTCCGAAAATATCGGAATCCGAGATAAACGAATAAGGGACAAGAGTCCTAGAATAAGGAAGGACTATGGCATGGATAAGGATAAAGCTCTTAGGGAGTTTATCTTTGTCTCTTGGAGAGTCCAGGATAAGCACTGAGCAAGAGTCCATTGAAACTAGGGTTCTAATGGGACAAGGATTGAGTTAATTATAAAAGAGAGGCACCCCCATGGGTCTAACGTACGCAATTTATATTCTAAACAGTAAGATTAACACTATTGATTATCTTTGAGAGATATACTGACTTGATCGTCGGAGTGCCCCCGGGTGGACGAACCACCGCCGGAATCTTCTCTTTCTGTTGCAGGTCAACAAGGTGTCATCTATTCTGTCAGTTCTCTCCAGCTAATTATTAAGTTGGGCAGTGTGATCGAAAAATCACTCACACTGGATGTCTTAATCACTTTTGATAAACTATATCTACATGTCACTAGTGCTAGAAAGAAGTAGAAGACTTAATTTATTTTCTATTTGGTACAGCAACTTATATTTTAGTCTTTTTTATTATTGTAAACTTTGTTATATATTTAAGTAAATTTTAGTAAACTTTGGTATATATTTTAGTAAACTTTTTTGTAAAAGATAGATGCACTTGGAGGACCTGAGTGAATTAATTAAGACAAGGATTGCATTTTGGGCCAAATTTTATTCTGAGGATTGTTGTTACTCAATGCAGTAGATGATCTGCAACATTCAGGAGATTCGGTTTGGTCTCTAGCTATCACTGGTGTTAAGCTGAGGATGGCAAATGGTAAGTCTTTAGTGGAGGTGAAGGGTGAATTTCTGGTGTTTTTTTTCTGATATTTTGTTCTGTTGTTGATCTGTCTGCTGGGCAGCTTTGATGTCATTGGTTGCTGGAAGTCTCTTTGACTCTTTGATCAGGATATGTATGATAAGGGCTGCTACTGATCTGAAGTTTTGCTAAGGCAGTTGCTGTTGCTGTTTGGTGTAATCTGATGTATAATCCGATGCTGTTGCTGTTTGGTGTAATCAGTGGTATAATCCGATGCTGTTGCTGTTTGGTGTAATCAGTGGTATAATCCGATGCTGTTGCTGTTTGGTGTAATTTGACTCATCAGATGAAGTTTTGCTGACTCTTTGATCAAGTTATGTATGGCAGTTGCTGTTGGATTTTGCTGAGGTAGAATTTTTTGGTGTTGTGTTGATCTGAAGTTTTGGGTGTCATTTTCATATGTGCATTTTCTGTTTGTATCTTGGGTTTGGAAACAGTAGTCACATTGGTGGATGGTGCTGTGGGTGGTTTTTGTTTTGTCTTTTGTTGTTTTTTTTCCTTATTTGCTTTGGTTGGTTTCTCACCAACTTTCGTTGGTGTGCTTGCAAAGGATCGAGCGGTCATATTAGTATCAACTTAGTTGGGATTAATATGTCTCGTGTTGTTATTGTTTACACCCATGTTTTTTCCTTTCTTGATATAATGAGCTCCTCTTTCATCAATAAAAGGTTTTTGTTTGGCTGATAAAAAAAAATAAATAAATTTTAGTAAGCTTTTTATGAGCATTATTAAATGTTAGAATTTAAAACAAAATTCGATAAATAATGTTTTGATCAATGTTTTTTTAAATAAATTTGAAAGGCTTCATATTTAGGGCCGCTTTGGGTCCTAGAAAAGTTATAATCAACCCTGAAGTAATGTAATGGTGATAAAAAGAGAGTGGTGATGGTATAATGATGGTGGTGGTAGTTATGGCAATGGTGACAATAGTTGTAGAGGTGAAGGATTGTACAAATTGTTGTAGTGGTGGTGATAATAAGTGGTGATTGTGGTGGTAGTAGTTAAATAATAACGATGATTGTTGTAATAATGACAATGGTGATGAAAGTAGTGGTTGCGGAAGTGTAATGGTTGATGGTAGCGGTGATAGCAGTGGCGGTGATGGTGGGGTTTGTGAGTTATATGGTGTATGCTGATACTTATGTATAAATATGTATAAATTAAATCAAAATTAAATAAATTTTTTATCACTTAAAATTTTCTTAATTTTTAACTTATATTTTAAGAGTTATATTTAAGTGATACCTTTTGTAATTATCAAATAGATTTAATTAGTTTTCACTTAATATATTTAGTTTTAAGTGTTAGATTAGGTCATGAAACTCCACGTTAGTCCCCCACCCCCTCCTGCAAAAAAAAAAAAAAAAGGACACCACTTAAAACGATTAGCTCTATAAATATCATTTTCTTCTTGGGCATATCAAAAGCTCGGCTGTAGCCCAACTATCAACTCGGTTTGCGAGAACATTCTAGGTTCGAATTCTGGCTGCGAAAAATATTTTTGTGTTGTGTTCGATAACATTATACCCACAACTTTCAATTTATATTTTTGAAAAATTGTGTTTATGGGTGAGATGCAGTTTTAGTTTTTAAAATAAATTTGACTCATATCAATCGATTGACTATTCTCAATTAATATACGAAATTTGGACAAAATAATTACGAACTGGGTAAACCCAACCCCTCCTGTCCTATTGATGACCCCTAGTCAAAACTAACCCTAGATAATGTCACTACAAGAATTAACACTTTTAGCAACAAAAAAATTGGTCGCTAAAAGTCTATTTTTGGTCGGCAAAAGTTATCCGCGACCAAAATTTTTGGTCGCTAGTTTGGTCGCCAATTGAGGGTCGGCAAAAGTAATTCGCGACCAAAATTTTCGTTGGTCGGCAAAAGTTGGATTTGCCGACTAAATTTTTGGTCGCTAAATATTTAATTACTGCGACTAATTTATTTTGTCGCTAAAACACTTTGGTCGCGGAAAGTGATATTTTCCCGACCAAATTTCTTAGTCGCCAATTGTCACATTTCGCGACCAAAAAGTTTGGTCGCCAATTATCACATTTCGCGACCAAATTTTTTGGTCGCCAATTATTACATTTCGCGACCACAAAATTTGGTCGCCATTTGTTACTTTTTGCGACCAAAACTTTTGGTCGGCAAAAGTGAGTTTCCACGACCAAAAGCTGTTTTGGTCGACAATAGATGTATTTTTTGCGACCAAAACTCTTGGTCGGCAATTATCATTTTTTGTGAAAAAAAATTATTTTGGATGCCGCGACTAATAAATTGGTCGCCAAAGCAAGAAAATAATACACCTGTATATTTAGCGAATTCATAATCAAAACAGGACGAATTCATAATCAAAACAGGTTTCATTATAAAATCTTCTATATCCAAGTTTCAACACATAACTCAGTAGCAGCAATATTGATTCCAAAAACAAGGAACGATTCACAAAACCCTATTCTAAACCCCAAAAACCAAAAAACAATTCATTCCAACAAAAATTTAACATAATCAACATCAATTTAAAAAAAAAGAACATCTGGTGTTAACAAGGTTGAGTATTGTTGTTCTTTTTTATGTAGGGCATCCAACTCCTTTCTGGCCTCTGCAAATCTCTCTTTGTCGTACGCGTCAACAAGGTAAACTTCACCAGCATCTGCCCTATGGATGAGGCGGTATAGACTACCCCTGTTCCACAAAATCAGGATTTGTGCAAAGTTAGCCTTCCATTACTTGCTTTAGATAGAAGTAGTTCAAATAATAAAATAATTCAGGAAGCAAATTGCTAAATTCACAACAATTTTGACTGCGTCCAGCAACCTCTCTCTCGCTGCAGTATCAACCCATGTGAGAAGGATGGCAGTGGCACAGCCATCAACACTGCGGGACAATGCATTAGGAACTAAAAAATGTCTTTACCTTCGTAGATATTCTGTCACGATTGACTAATGTGGCCGTTGTGTAACCGCACCAATGAAATCGTATGATTTACTTAATTTGAGATTCAACAACTCAAATCAGATTGTTTTGGATAAAACTCGTATCGAATTGTATAAATCGAATTGTGAATCGCAAGATTCTAACAGCCATTGATTTTAGAGATAGGAGAGAGAGATGTAATGGGAAATCAAGATTTACCTGATAGATGGGTGCTCTCACTGAACCAGATGTTGCCAGCAGTCTCTTCCCATTAGCATCTAAAGCCATTTCATGTCTATGTTCAGAGTTATCACGATTACAGAACCTACATAATGGAATAGACTCAGGTTACCAAAGCTCTTTATTCATACTCATATATGTATTGAAAGAGTCACATGCAGCAAGATATAAGTGGCAGGGTTGTTTCTGTACTTTCACAATATGACTGTCCCAAAAAACAAAAGGTACAGATTTGACAATGGGCTTCACTTAAGAATTAAAACCACACCTTTCATCAATCTTGACTTTATTAAAATTTCAACTAATAGTAAGCCTAAATAAACGATAAGGTTACCATAACATTGAAGGGTTAAGCAATTCAAGTACCTGCTGCAATTTCTTGACCAAAGAATTTTACCTTGGTTTTGCAAGATCCATTCAAATATCTGAAGTAGAAGCTAATTTGGTGAGATTACACATATATGGCTAAGCATAAGAATATAATCCAACAAGCTAGCTAAAACAAATAACAAAATTTAAAAGAATAAGGTAGAAAGTGCTTTTTATGCATGACCCTAACTCAAGCTAAAAATCAGAGGAAACAGAGGCACTTGCCTTTCCATCTATCCCCAAGCTAAAAATACTTGTCTCATCAGGCCCAAAAAGAACAGAGCTAATAGCAGAATCATGAGCCGGCCACCCAGTAATTTGTAGTCCGGCAGACATATCTTTGCCAAATTAAGATGTATACATTTGTTGCGCATGTCTTGTGTGCAGCATGAGATTGGGGACAAGTTTCCTTTCAAAGTAGAAATGTTTAATCCCCCCTCCCTCCCCCCAGCTCTGAAGCCCCAAAAAGAAAGAAAATGATTCCTTTTTCATGTTTTTTTACTTGGTGTACCAAAGAAGTAAAAGCAACTCAAAAGTAAAATGTGTAACACTTAATTTTAGAAATATAATAACCATTCATACATAAACATAAAATACTATAAGGATACCGAACATATGAATCATTCCATCAGTTGCAGCAGCTGCTAAAATCTTCCCGTTATGATTGAAGCATAAGGAAGTAATTGCCGGAGGATCTTCACCAAGGGGAAGGACTGTCTTCAATAAAGTTGAGAAATATTAAGACATAATAGCTGTCAGTCAGACAAATTGACTTCCTACAGTAATGTACAATTTGTGGGACAAACAAGGGCATACCATAGCCTTCCATGTTTTCATGCTCCAGACAGTTAAGCTTACAAATCCCAACTTATCCATATAACTCATGCAATCCCAACTTATCCATATAACTCGTGGCATGCCTATAAAAACACTAGGTCCTAAGAATGATTCATATTCCAAAAACATAAATGATAAACAAGTATGATGATAACATCTAAAAACATTGATTAAAAATGGGGATTGGTGAAGTTTTTTTTTAATTTTTTATCACAAGTAGTCAATTAGTAAGTTACATAAATCCTGCAACTCAATAGAAAGAATTTAACCAATTACAATAGTACTTAAAAGGACAAAAATATACAGTACAGTGGAGAAATAGATTTAGTTACAAGAAAGATACATTCACATACAGTGTCAACCAAAGAATCTCCTGCATTAATTCAAATAAATAGTACCAAACATGTGCATTGCACTTTTTAATCATGCAAAATCCATCAGTAATTAGGTATACGTATATCAGAATGACATAAGGCAACAATTATGATCAGTCAATATATATTGTGTCTTGTATAAGCATTCAACTTAGCAAAGTCCACCATACCGTGCTTTTGCTCAGCTGATACTCTCTGAGCCTCTACCAACTCTTTCAAATCTTTCGAAACTGATTCTTTCAAATCTTTCATTTCCTGAAGAACAAAGTTGGCAATTCATTAAGGACAATAGTTGGGTTAAGGCCTGTCCAGCAGAGTTAAGACAAAAAATAAACAACTTAAAATCATTATCATTATGATGTAAATAACCCAAATAATTAAAACATGTTGATATATGGTGTAAATCTCTGTTACATAAACACTTCATAGTGTGAAATTCTATGTCAGATAAAAAAAAACAAAGATGGGTAAGGATATGTTTTATACTAAAATATTATTAGTGATGTTCAAAGTAGAAGTTCCTTATCATACCCTTTCCACATGTTTCTGTGCTACATGGATACATCCAAATGATTAAAAGAAAGCCATATCTAACAAATTATGTTACATATGAAGTTCCTTATATAGTATGGTGGAACCAAACTAGGATTCATGTTCATTAAGAGATCTTACGTGAATTTTTACGTGTTGTCAAGCTTAGATAGTATGGTAGAGTTGAAGAAAAGCTGGACAATAAAGCAAATCACTGAATTCACCAATAGACAAAGAATAATTTGTATTGCACTCTTTTTTTTTTTTAATCAGCAACAAAAATTATCATTGCACATATTTGCACAAACTATTCTTTGGGTATACCGCACTAAAGTAATTTGGGTATACAACAAAAATAAAGCACTAAAGTCTGATTGCCTACAACCTCCATTATTACAAGTTCCACACTGTAATATGGGTATACAATTTGTCCATTAAAAAAATAACAAGAGCCCACAAGTAATTTCACGAAGATCCTTCTCTATTGTCATGTCTATTACAAGAATAAAGTTGCACAATTAACAAAGGCAAACTATATCATGATGATGTTTTCTGCGAAAATATATTCCCTATTATTAAAGCAGGAAACAAAAAAAGATTGCATAGATCAAGAATAGGCAACAAAAAAAGGTATCTCAAATGACTTAAAAATGCAACCAAAGTTCAGCCCGTACAAAATTTCTACTTTATCTGTACATATCAAAAAATGGGGATGATGGGGATGATGTTCTACTATGCTTTACCTGTACATATCAAAAAATGAATAGGAAAGATTACTGCAGGAATGAATAGATGGATGCACACATGCCCACACATGAGTCACCTTAGTTTCAGAAAATTTATAGATATTTATAAAAGAAAAATGCATACTGGTATTTGGAATCATCTCTGTAGCACCCCACCACTTTATTGAAATAGAAAACTAAGATAAAGCATGATAGATCATAGAAAAAACCCATAGATGGTTCTTCACTGCGTGGGCTTTGAGATTAGCATTCTTATTCTTTTTATTAACAATACTCATTACATAGTTTGTAATCTGGTTGGTAACATAATCAACATGAGTCCCACCCTTAATTATCTTTTTGCTTATGACCAAATCAACATTTCTGCTTATGACCATAGGAAATATTTTGTATAAGCAGACAATCCATCATACATGTTACCACAGCATCACTCTGCAGAATGCAGAATGCATGAAAGACAAATCAACATGTTCTTAATTTAGTAACCATTTAACATGAGGCTAGCTTGAGTTAGATTGGTTCAAAATCTTGCAGTATGTATCGGTGGAAGCACTAGAATTTTGGTTTTCCACTAGTGTTTTGTTAAAAACGAAAACGTTTCAGCCATTTCAAAGGAAACAAAACGAAAATTGTGTTCCCTGATTGTGATGACTGAGTTCTTGTCACAAATTTCCTGTTTTCATTTACAAGAGCCCTTGTAAGTCAAAAATTTGGAGTAGAAATTGGTTGGCCACACAGAACCAGATTCTGTAACCTTTCAAATTTTTTTACCTTCATTGTTTATGTTTAGCCCTAAACTCTATTTTATTTTATTTTTAAATCATAGCCAAAATAACTTTACAACGCCATTTCTGACACATTCAAACTATCTATATGAATCCAGAACATTTGGAAACAGAACATGATTGAGCATAGTGAAACAAGTTTTTACGCAGTGGGAATATGTACACTAAAAACACTCGTGGGCAATGATTATTGTCTATGAATGCCAAAGATACATGTTTTAAGGTTGTTCTACAGCAGCCAGAGTCTGGTGCTGAGTGGCTATCAGCACCAGTGTTGCACAAGAAATCTTGTACATGGAAAATTTATGTTCTAAATTTGTTATGCGAGCAACCCAGCAACCATTAAATGTAACCACTAATTTAAGAAACCCTACCCTTACCCCTTAGAAAAAGAAATAACACAAAAACAGTACGAAAAAAACATACCTGTGATGTGCAGGGAAATGGAAAAAATAAATAAAATAAACAATTTGAGCAGTACGAACAGTTTTCATATATGTTCCATTAACAAGCAATAGGGGAACAGCTGCAGCTCTCCGTGCAACTAAAAATGCCATCGCCAAAGCAGGATCCTCTGAAAGTGTTAACCTACAAAGTTTACATCATTAATCTATAAAGCAACTTCCAAGGGAAACTTCCCTTCTAACTAATCAGCAAGGATCAAAATTCCAACCCAGTGTCATGTCAGTATGCATGGAAACATTAATGTTTCAAAAAGACTATAGAAAGAAACGAAAAAAGGAACTTGGAAATAGATGGAAACATTCGGAAACCGTGACTAAAATCTATCCATACATATAAAAGCCCAATAATTGATTGATTGAAGATATTTAAGTCGTGGGAATCAGCCTCTCCATTAGGAAAAAAATAGTAATAAAGTGGAGGGAAATCTATTTACCATCCCTCAAACCCAAATGTAAACAGGAGCTTTGTGCACTGGATATGACCTTCTACCATTACATTCATAGATACAAAGGCAAAGGTGTAGAACCAAGGCATTTTGTAATTCAATTTTATTCATAGAGGAACTTCAGTTTGATGAAATACCATAATCAATGTCAAGGGGTATTATTAGATTAAAAAGTAATTTACAACGTTAATATTGTTTTTATTTCCCTCACGTTCTGTCACTTTCATTCTAAAGAAACTGTAAAGAGAATATACTTTGACTATTGAGTCATGCTAATCACAACTTAATGAATTGTTAAAAAAAATATCAAAAACTTTAAAATCTCAATAATAAAACTTCTACATATTTTAAAATATTTTTCTACACTTTATAGATATTTTATACATCTACCAATATTATTTACAGCCCTTTAGATTACCATTAGCATTTTCCAAAACATTTTAGTCATCTAACTTTTTTTGGGATGAATGTTGAATGAGCACATACACTGAAATAAAAATAAAAACAAAAGGCTAAAGAATTTCAATGAAGTCAGTTTCAATTGAAATTATGAGGAAACAAGTGCAGTGAATTACCTCTCTGGGCATAAGAGTTTTTGGAATCACTCTGCAAAAAAATAAATAATGGAGTTTATGAGTGGAGAAGAGAGAGAGAGAGAGAGAGAGAAATTACCCTAAGATGTGGCGGCCACCATCATAGACAGCTTGGGAGATTAGACCCATCAACCCAACGCTCCCTCCTCCATACCCAAATTTTTTTTTTTATCAATTACCATAGATATTATTAAAGTACTATATTGAATTTAAGTTAACCATGTGAATTCATGCAAGAAATTCACAAATTTAGTTGGTGGATAACGGTGTCAATTTCTTGTTTTTTTGTAACAAGAATAAAGTTTTTCTTTTGTAAAAAACAAAAAAACTTGCTTGGTGTATAAAAATATTTTGAAAATAAATAAAAATAAGTAACAAATAAACATGTTTGATGGGTTACCAGAGGTGGCAGAGAGTGGCTTAATGCACTTCTTCACAAATGCCACGAACTGCTTCTTGTCAAAAGCAGGTTGCTCCTGCAAATAATAACAAATTTCATGCTTCAAATAGCGCAGAAAATATATGAAACGGCTGATATGACAGATGACTTCAGTTACCTTAACACCTTCTGCAGAATGATTAGCACCAGTATCTACATTTAACGCTTGAACAACCCACTGCTACACATCAAAATCACGAATATGTAAATGGCATGGTTATAATCTGTAACACATGAACCATATGCAAAAATCACCGTCTCATTCTTCATCTAGGAACACCAACACTTCTAAGAAAGTGGTGTGTTGGGTTGGAAATCATATTAGACATCAATGACACTCGTTAGACACTTCCTAACATTTGACGAACACATGTCTAAGGAGTAATCTGCAAGCAACAGGGGGAATTGTGTTGCAATTACAATAGTTGTCAGCGCAGATGAGAAATAAAAACCTTTTTTTTTAGCTTTTAGGGTATATTTTTAGTTCAAGATCCGTCCTACTACTCGGAACCAAAGAATTAGTAGATCTATTTAGGTCAAATTGGGATTGAGCAAGGGTTTTGAACTTATAATCTATGATCTGTTCATTGAGTCAATTCCCAGATTATAATTTCATTGCAGCAAGTGATTGAGTTCAGTAGTTCCCCATATA